AGCACGCCTTTGTCTCGACGCTCCTGCGAGAGGCCCGTCAGCGTTCCACACACAAAAGAGCAAGGGTTGCAGCACAATCTCCTTGCACACATTTTTCTGCGACGATGACGTTTTTTTTTTCTCCTTGCTCCGTTCTCGATCCTCCCTCTCCCCCGTGCGGACTTCCGCGATTGAAAAAGGATATCGCGGAAGCCCTATCTCCCCTAGTGGACTTCGCGAAGGATATCCTAAAGGACTACGAAGAGGACTGGGAGCGGTTCCCCATATACCTCAAGGCCACCGCCGGCGTGAGGCAGCTGCCGTACGGCGACCGCGAGGCGCTCTTGTCCGCCGTGCGAGACTTCCTGGGCAACCCCGAGACGTGCCCCTTCTACTTCCAGTTCGATCACGCCAGGGTTATCTCCGGGGAGGAGGTGCGTGTTCTGTTCTTTCTCCCTGCCCAACGTTTTGTGTCTGCTGCAGAGGTTACGGGCATTCCTTCAGGTAGGATCATCAGTTCGCTGCGGTGGACCTGAGCGCAAGATGTTGTCTTGTCGCCTGTGTCCGAAAAAAAGAGGGCTGGATTGGTTGGTTTTTTTTGGAGGCAGAAAGGTGCATGCATATATAAATTGATGTATACGTGCATACACCTGTTCTACCGACGGTCCTCGACAACCTATACCGCGGCAGTTTCCTCCGAAGACAGGATGCGCCTCCTTTGAATCTTTTTCTGAAGCCCGCCAAAGCCAAAAAGCTGGCATGTTTTTCACCACATGCGGAGCTACTATAGAGCACCCACCGGTTGAGCAATATTCAACACCTGGCCATTAGAACAAACCCGTGCTATTGTCAACCGCTCTTACCCACAGCTTTCAAAAACTTCAAGCATCATGCTCTCTCGATTTGTTTCGAGGGAATTTCTTTCTCGTTTAGACTTCCATTCGAACGCCGTGGCCACCTTCTTCCGCGGATGGGACAACTCCACTTGATCGAGATGGTATCAAACAACAGTACTTGCCACATTCGGGCGCCGCCGGATAAATACTCTCTTCCCGAGGTTGCGTACTCACTCCTTTTTTTTGTCTCTCACATGTGCAAGTGCGCACGCGCGCAGACCAGGAATGGGCTCTTGGCGTAGGCGGAAACGGCCCACATCCCCCACAATTCCCCGTAACCCCCGGAAGAACATCATTTGGCCTCTTCACCGTGCCCGCGCCAGGCTCTCCTTTGTCTGTATTTTGTGTACACACCCGACAACAGCCCCTTGATTAAGGCCAAGAGGTCAGCGGCGCCTGAATTCGCACTCACCGCACGCGGGCGGCCGCTCCTACCCCCCTTCGAGAAAAAAGCAACCAACGAATAAGCATACCCCCCTCCCATCCGTGTTGACCACCAAGCCTCTGCACCAAAGTTGTTAACATTGTTTAATTTTCACTGTCCCGCGAAACGCAACGTAGGAGGGCATCTACGGCTGGGCGGCCGTCAACTTCCTTCGCGGCGAGCTCCTTGCCCTTAGCGAGGGGGTGGGGACGGCGGTATCGTCGGGAAACATGACCGTGGGCACGCTGGACCTCGGGGGAGCGTCCACCCAGATCTCCTTCTTCAAGTCCGACCAGGTGTGGCCGGCCTTGGTGTCCTTGGCTCGTCTTGTCTTATTCTCTTGAGGCCCGAACACCTGGTTTGCTGTTGTTGCTGCTGTTGTTGTTGTTGTTGTCTGTGGTGAAATATCGCTTCGTCGAACCTGCGAGACGCTCAGCCTTTCGCAACCCAAAAAAGGGAGCAAATCTCGTTGTCTTTGTTTCCGTTCACCATGTATGGAGTATCATGCAGAAGCTTGCTTGTCGCGTTCTCGGGGAGACGAGACAAAGGAGACCCCCCCCCCCCC